GATACGCGATTCTATCGATTATTATTCTTTCGCTTTCCTATTATGACATTTATAAGAAATATCAATTTCACGTAAACCCCCTCGAACTCCTCAACAACTTTAACCCTCGAAAAGAAAAAAAAAGAAAGAAAGAAAAAACGATCGATCGATCTCGGCTCAACTTTCTAAATTTCCTGACCCAAATCCTCCGGAACTTTTATGAAGACGCTTAAAGAGGTCGGCGTGCTCATTCCCGATAAATGATTTGGCAAGCCTTACAATTGGCTGCGGAGAAGAACGTCATCTAATACGACGCTCTCCTATCAGATAGAAAGAAATTTACACGAACGAGACAAAACCTTTTTTTTTTTTTTCCCCAAACAATAATCCGCGCGGATTTACATAAAGAGAGCAAATCGAGAATACTTGTCCCCTAAAAAAAAAAAAAAAAAAAAAAAAAAGCCCAAACTCGATCTACACATCTATCAAACCTCATCAATATTCCGCGTACGTCACCAGGTATTCAGTAGCTCAACTAGAGGCACGGAAGAACGTTCCGCGGAAACGAACGTTCCCGTCAATCGCGCCGGCCCGGAAAATTGGTTTACAGGTTTGGCCATCGCGGCGGTCATCACTATATCGATATATATCCGGCGAGGATATCGTATCGCGCGCGTCGATATAATCATCATCCTCCCCCTCCCCTTGTAGTGGTGGTAGTGGTGAACACCCCCGTTGAAAATCTATGAAAACCCATGGCCAAGTTCCATCCACCCGACGACCGATGCAATATTAACAAGCCGTACAAATCACCGTGGCTCAATTCCACGGTTAAATCCACCGGCATAGGCCATAGATTACAGCAATTGAGGCCGGAAGATGGGAGTGGGGAGGGGGGGGCGAGGAAGAAGGGGGGAGGAGGAGGAGGAGGAGGAGGAGAAGGATAACGGTGCAAAGGGCAACGGTGCGGTGGGACGAAGGGACGATGGTAACACGGGGAGGAAGGGAGGAGGAGGAGGAGGGGGGGGGTGTGTTTGGAGAAGACGAGAAAAGAATCGAGAGGGAGAAAACGGCGTGGCGGCACGGCGCGAGGAAACGTAGGACCACGTTTCGCCGTATACATACAATACAGGGGCGCGATCGCGTGTATTGGGGAGAGGGGGGGGGGGGGAAACCCATACATCCTACGGGCTGCCTCGCGCGCACGTGCACGCCACCCGCTTTCACATGTACAGCAGCGGATCCACGCAGACACGGGGGAGGAGGGGGGAGGGGGCCCACACCGACGCATAGATTGCATACTTATGCCGGCACTGTGCACATAAAGTTAGGGGGCGGCGCGCGCTCTCCTTCGCTGCCGCACAAGAATAAGAAACACGGTAGCATACATAAACAAGGAGGTTGGGGATGCAGCAATTTAAAACGTACCCCGGAATTCCTCCCAACGGGGTCGTAGAGCGGCCCTCTATATTACGAATTCCTCCTCCCTTCCTCCTCCGAGAACGGCCGCCCCTCACCTTTAGCCGCCCCCTCTGATATACCTCTCGCCGCTGCCCTGTGCGCGCGTCCTCTTGCATCTTACTTGGGAATTTCGGTCGTATAAAGTGGGACTATGGAGCAGCCTTGTGTGTATGTGTGTGTATATGTGTGTGTGTGTGTGTGTGTATTAACGGCCACGGGAATCGAAACACATCCCCTTGTCCAGATAGGAAAGTTTTGGGATTTTATTCGCGGGATATATAAATCGAAATCACCATCTTTCTCTTCTCTCCTACGAGTGATCGATAATCCTAATTATCGCGGTTAAAATTAAAATTCGAAGGGATCGATCTACGTCGTCCCACGAAGGAAGAGAACCATTCCGAGGATCAATCCGGCAGCTGTCAAGAAACTTGGGACTAGGGAAAGCGCGTGTATCGTCGCGAAGAAGGAAGGGGAGGGGGAGGAGGAGGAGGTATTCCGGCAAAGTTTCGGCGAGAATGGGTAATCAGTTTCTTTCCTGATGGCTTAAGTAACAACGAGCGCGTCCCAAAGTTTCGCGCGAGGACGAGGGAGGAAGACTTAATCAGACTTACTCTTTCTCTCTCTCTCTCTCTCTCTCTCCCTCTCGAAAACTTATCCCGGATGCACAAGTTGGGAATCCTTGCGGGTTTAATGCCTATTATGCAGATCAGCGCTCGGCCAACGAATAAGTCAAATACGGTTAACAATGGGGAATCGGCAAGTCGGGTTGATCGTGGTATAGAAACGAGAGCGATTGGCTGTTTGAACGGCTGAGACGGCGGAGACGGCGGTGTCGCCTCGGGCGGCTCTGTTTGCAGACATAAGGGAGCCCCCCTCCTTCCCCTCCTCCCCCCCCTATTCCCCCCGCTGGTTTGAACGGCGCGAGTCGAGGGAGTTCAATTGGTGGCGGCAATCCTAGTAATGTACCCGTGGGGCTCTGTCAAAGTGCTTTCCAGGAGGAGGAGGATGTTGCATTCGGCATTCGGAAAGTTCATTCTTGCCGGAAGTGGCGGGGCAAGCGACCAAACAGTTGCATCCCCCCCCTCTCCCCATGGGTGGGGGAGGATGGAGCCTGTTCGATTTCTCGGAAGAATGGGAAATGGGGGAGGGAAGGGGAACAAACAAGGGGAGATCACGGCCAAGGAATTGTGAAAAGTCAAGCTTAAGAACAATTTCTGTGAGAGGTTTTTATCCCTTCCCTTGTTCTTATCCCTCCCCCTACCTCGTCCGGTGCAGAAGAAGTAACTTTCTTCGAAAGTTGGAATCGAAAGACAATACATGGAATGGAAGAAATATTCGCCACGTGAACGAGATCACACTTGGGGAGGGATCGACACTTTTCGCCGAAATTAATATATTATATATATCCGTGAGAGAAGATTGCGCGGCAAAAGTGATAAAAGTAGTTTCTTTTAAATAAGAGAAGGGGGGAGGGAGATATAATTGGGCGTTTATCGAAAAAAAGTTGGGGATCTAACGAGAGCCCGTGAATCGTCTACTTAGGTTGTTATCAGAAGGGGACAGGGACGCGCTATCTTCGATAGTTGTCCGCCTCTTTTCACACCTCCATGCCTGGGGACTTGAGTTTAAAAACGGACGGCTAAATAATGTATATCACAGCGGCAACATCGGGCGGTAAAACAGTTATAAAAACACGGGCAACTACGTTAAGATCAATTATTTAAGATGTACAGCTCCGTAAAGAGAGAGTAGACCAGTCGTAAAGGGGGCGGAAGAAAGTAACGCTTCTAGGACGAACCGGAAGGGAGGGGAGAGAGTAAAGGGGTGGGAAAGGAAGGTGGCCATCGCGGGAGTTATAAAGGTTGCAGTTAAAAGTTGCTTGAATTATCAAGGGACACACCGGTTCGAGACGACGCCGACCGTTATTTTTGAGCTGTTGCGTATCGGAATTTGTACGCGAAAGTTTGCGCCATTTTGCCCACGTGATGAAATTCTGTCGGATAACGGATGGAGAAAAATCCGATATCCATTGTTTCCGTTTCGATAGATAGATGATGCTACGTTATTGAAAACAATTTGGTAAGAAGCAAACTTTTGCAACTTTTTTATCATTCTTCTAACATCGAACAGTAATCGCGCTGTATCGATGATTTATACGATTTCTCGTGCGACGAGTTGATTTAATTAACGACGATCTTTCAACGGCCGGCCTTTCATCTCTCATATATTCGAAATTATCGTAATAGAATTTGTAATCTCCATTGATTTCGGATTAATTGTATTCTTTCTGCATCATTAAAATCGTTGTTGTTACTCAACGATTCGATAATAATCGTTCTAATTGAATATCATTATCGTGACTAATTTATTGATTTTTATAATAGAAAGTATAAATATGAAATCGAAATCATGGAATAGATACGATCTGAAGATACGTTGTAAAATGTCTCGAATCGATTTCGTGAATTTTGAAACGTTTGCTTTTTTTTTTTTTTTATTAATGCGGGTTTTAAATTGCCAACTTCAAGTAAAAATTATTCGACAGATATTTTTCCCGTGATGTAAATAAACAGGATGTAAATAAAGGATAATATAAATGTAATATATATGGCTGCCGATTTTGCCGATGAGAAATCCGTTAAAGAGGATACGAACGATTACGATATCATAATTATAGGAGCAGGTTTAGCTGGTCTTACATGCGCGTACACTATTCTGAATAAAGTTCAATTAGATATATTAATCATCGAAGCTAATGGTAAATACTTCTCCAAATAGAAGAAAATTATACGATGAAATCTTTAGATTTAAATTCGAATTAAAAGTTCTGTGAATAAATATCTTTTTTTTCTTTTTTTTTTTTTTTTTTTTTTTTACGATTCATCCAAAATCAGATGACGTAGGAGGACGAATTTTATCGAAAAAATTTTGCACTTCTTATCACGCCAATTCCTCGCAAAAACATATTACTAATCTATTGAACACGTTGCACATAAAAATTATGGAAAGAACGCATAAGGAGAGAAAGAATCGAATATTGTACGCGAGAGAAAAACCTTTGAAAATTTTACCTAAATTTTATGGAGCTGAGGTTCACAATTTTTTCCAAAGGGTAATACAAATTGCCATATTTATTTTATGACGAATTAAAGAGAGAATTTCGATAAATATTTATCGCGATTAAAGATTTAAATATTCGATATTCATTGGCACGTCTGCATTTTATCAAATGATAAAATCAATTAAAAGTATTTTTTATATCCTATAGTATTGCAATTATTTATCTTTTCAGATCGAAGAAAATTCATCAAGCATAAGATTTAGTAATTACTTCAAAACGGAAGAAGCAGAGAATCTTGCCGTGACAAGCGTTGAACAATTGCTCCGCCAAATCGTTCTCTTTCCTTATGTACGATCTCTGTGCCGGGCATATATATGCACTACCTGCGGTAACCTAATTTTTATCGATAAAAATCTTTTCTTATTGATTTTCTTTTACGGTAAAAAATGTTCGTGAAAGAAAAACATTTCCTCAGGCAAAATTGTTTTAAACAGCTATGCGAAATCTCAACGATATCTCGGCGCTTTGGTTCTTCGTCATGTTGTACGGTGCATCAGGTTTCTCCAACCGACTGAGGATCATGCTAGGCGACAATAATCAATATTTCGTACAAGTATTCACGCGCGAAAAAATTCATTAATTAAAAGAAATTATTGATTGAATCTGCATTGCGACAGGGTGGCATGTCTAAAATCACGCATACACTGTTGAAACGTATTTTACAAGAACAAGGTGAAATAAAGTACGTTGAGCCAGTTAGCAAGATCATGTTCAACGATGCCCAAGCTTACGTGTTCACGGAAAAGGAATATTTCAGGTATTGATATATATCGTTTGATACGAAAAAACAGATAGAAAAGAAAGTTTTGCAGATGCCAATTAGCAGTTATAGCAATACCTCCATCGATGATGGACAGTATCACTATCGAGCCATCCACGTATACGAAATCCTTGTACGCGCCGGCTGAGAATGTATTTTTCAACGTAACGTACAAGAAACCGTTTTGGACCGATGGTTCCATAAAAGATATCATAACCACGTGGGATTTTGCCAATAATTTGAACTTCGTCCACGACACGTCACACGAGCACAGCAATAAAGTTGTCCTGACTGGATTTCTCGCCGAATCTCATTTCACTCAGACGCGAAAGAAATGTCTGTTCGCTACGTTGGACGATTGTTACAAGTCCACCAATGCTTCCAATTATTTACGATACAAAGAATACGATCCTTCTTTGATAAACGATCAAGTGACGTTCGGTTGTCCGATGAGCACACTGAAACCCACCTCATTCGATGATCACCTGCACAAAGAGGAATCTTACGACAGGTGAGCGTGAAAATTTATTCATATCGATATTTTTCACATCGTGTTTCAATCAATTTTAATTCGATTCGAACTTCCTTCGAAAAAAGGATCTTATTTACCTCGAGCGAATACGCTAAGAATTGGCCCGGCACGGTAGACGGCGCGATCCAGGCGGGTGAAAGGACAGCTTTCGAGGTTTTGTTGCGAATTAGACCGCAAGTACTTTCTTTCCGCGATATGACTACTCTAGGGTAAATACGAGACTTGTACAAGTAACGATACAAATCAAATTATGAAGAATAAATAAAATTCTGTCTCTCTCTCTGTTTTTTTAATTTTTTTCCTTTTCTTTTCTTTTTTTTTTTTATTTTTTTTTTTTTTTTTTTAGCGAGATGATTAACGCGAAAACAATAAGAAGACATCGGACCTATTCCTGGAAAATATACACCGTACAATACCTTGGGATAATACTTCATGTTGCTATTTTCTTATCATTTTTAAGAGTGGCTTATGACTGAAATACACAACGTTAATTATTAAGTTGTAAGAGAGAGAATTTTAAATTTAATAATAAAATCAAACTTTCACGGACGATTGGCCGAAAATTATTCGATTTCGAGAATTATTTTTTTACGATATTAAAAAATTCGTTTACATTCGAAAATTAAAACTATAAGAAATCTCGTAACAGAGATGGAATTTTCATAAGCGCTTACTAAACAGAAACACGCGTATATGTGTTATAAATATATAAACGTTAAATGTGACCCCTAACGAGAAAACGATAGCTAGTATATAGTAGATATCAAACAGTTCCATGCTCTTCCTCCTTCCGTTAACATCTCGGATTCAAACTACAACTACAACGTACCGTATCTCGAATGAACATTTATTAATTATGTATCGTGTGAAAAACAAACTAATCTATCCTGATCTATTTAGTAATTAGAACACACTACATACATTACAATCGAAAATGTTCGATGACACGAGCGAGGATGAAACGGGATTGCGGACGCCAATAGTGCTGAGGAAAGGATCACGATGCAGTCGTGATTCAGGTAATTACATTTGATATCGACATTTGATCTGTGTATTATTTTTCTTTGTCGATTAAATAAAAAAAAGAGGCTTTCACCTTTATCATTTTATTATCGTTTATTATTAAAAAATATACATATACATGTAATAATGTGATATAAATACATTTAATCAAATCTTTGTTTTTCTTTTTTTTCGAGTCACTGAACATATAATTTAATTTTCACGAATTCATGGTCAATAATATACTTTATGTGAGTGTTTTGCTTGACATTTATTCGATGCGATATAGTAACTCCATCATCTATCACGAGTTCAATAATACTCGGCCAAATCCCAGAAGAGGTACTCCGTGTTTGGAGTCAACTACCAGAGGCGATACGTTTGGATCCTAGTTTGGCAGTTTTTCAAAGAGAATACGATCGAGTCCATCACACCGTGGGAGGAAGGTCCGTGCTTCTTAATGTCTCCTCTGTAAACATATAATATATAACATAATATATAACAGTATATAAATGGAAAATTTGATCGTCGATAACAATCGATAAAACATTTACAATATAAAATTGAATCGGGCGATAATTTATTTTTACATAATTATTTCGAATAATTTTTAACAGATTCACGGATGGAGCAAAGAAAGATTGTCTGGTGGTAAATATGTCCCTCGAGAAACCATTGCCGTTGAGGTAAGCGATGCTTCTTTTTTCTCTCTTATTATTTAAAATAAGTTTTAAAATGTTTTATATTTTAGATTGAAAAATAAGGAAAACGATGAGGATCTGAATATACAAGAGGCTCAAGAAACGAAACAGAAGCCTTTTTACCGATATGCCAAGCTGACTATATTGTGTCTCTGTTGGTTAATATTCAGCGTAAGTTTATCCTCCGATAAATTGTGTTAAATTTCTATCTATTGTATTTTCTTCGTTTCAGTTAATATTGGTAATTAAAAGCGAGAAGATCGAATCGTTGCATCAAATCTCAATACCCAGTGGACAAATAAAAAGTATCCTTCAACGTTTCGATACCGCACATAGAGAATAATTCAATTAAATTGTTATTAATTAATTTTTAAATTAATTTTTTAGGTTATAAAATGTACGGTGAAATTCCTAGGAAATATATCAGTATAATGCTAGAAGGATCGTTACTTCCTCCGGTAAAACCAATAGAATACGCAAATATATCGGATAGGTATTTAATGATATGGTTGGAATTCTTGTTCAACGAGGATAATAAGAGTAATCAATTTTTCAACGGATATGAAGAAATTAAGGTATCAATATACCGTATGATATATTAAGAAGAGATTTTTATCTTAATTGTCTAATATTTATAAATAAAAATTAATTACGTTAATATAGAATATAAGTGATATATGGGTTTTACCAATACTTCCTGAGAATCTAATGGACATTTTTCCTGGACAAAGGCATCAGAAGATATTTAATTTAAGAAATATGGATAAGAAGTACGCGCAAAAATGTTTAACGATCGAATTTTCAAATACATCTTTCTTCGAAAAATTGTATTATTTTATTTTACAGTGCGTTAGAGCATGGAGAGATATCGATCAAATTGAAAACTAATCTAGAATCGAGTTTTGCTATTTCCATCAGTTATGATTTATCACCTATAGACAAAGACGATGGGATAATTTATGCTGCATTAATTCTATTGGGATTATATGTACTTATAATATTCGAGGTAATAATTTACAGTTTCGTGTGTGAAAGATATCTTATCTTTTTATAATTTTAATTCATCATTATATAGATTGTACATAGAACTTTAGCAGCCATGCTAGCTTCGACTATGTCTATCGCGATATTGGCAACTTTAAACGAGGTAATAAAATCTTCTTAAAAAAAGATTCATGAAATTTCTCTGAACAGTTTTAAATGATATATAAAATCGTTTTCCAGAGGCCAACTATGAATGAATTAATATCTTGGATAGACGTCGACACGTTGTTATTATTATTCTCGATGATGATACTTGTTGCCGTGATCGCTGAAACGGGTATATTCGACTGGTTAGCAGTTTACGCTTACAAGGTAATTTAATTTCTAAATAAACATTTATATATCGTTAAATAATAATTATACTTGCACTTGCATACAAATTTTTAACGTTTTAAATTATAAAAAAATTTCTATTACGAGGAAAAAGTTTAACATTTAATTTTAATAATTAAAAAAAATTAAATAATATAATATAATTAAACGCGAAATATTTATATTATTAAAATAAAATATCTCTATTTCTCTCGTCCAATTTTCTTTCAGATAACTGGAGGAAAGTTATGGCCGCTCGTAGGTACACTATGTTTCTTTACAACGTTAATTTCATCATTCCTAGATAATGTTACGACAGTATTGTTAATGACACCGGTGACCATCAGATTATGCGAAGTAATGGAAATAAATCCTGTGCCAATATTGACAGCGATGGTGGTTTATTCTAATATAGGGGGTGCTATGACGCCAATAGGCGATCCACCCAACGTAATTATTACATCGAATCGCGATGTTATCAATAATGTAAGGGACTACTTCGAGTATTGATTTCTACAAATATTTCATTAAGGATTAAATTAAATCAATATAACGTATTACCGTAAAATAAAAATGTTTAATCACATTGCATTAACATTTAATCGTTAACATTCCTTAATCCATTATTAATATATACCTTATGTATTACATACTACTTTATCATTATTGTTCGTTGTTATTCAGGGCATCGATTTCAGTACATTCACAATACACATGAGCATAGGTGTAATATTGGTAGTGATCGTAGTATATGCTCAACTGCGATTCGTCTTTCGAGATATGGCTGCTCTTAAATTCGCCGAACCTCCAGACGTGCAGGTATATAAATATATCATTCTTTATTATCGTTTATCTCGAAACAAACAAGTTAAAAAAAAAAGAAAAGAAAAAAATTACTTAAATCTTTCGTTTCAGGAATTAAGGCATGAAATTGCCATTTGGCAAAGGGCTGCGGCAAGTTTGTCGAGTTATAGTAAAGATGAAAATTTAGTGAGAGAAACTTTGTTGAAAAAAGTTCAACGATTGCTCTCCCAGTTAAAAAAGAAGCTAATGACAGGCAGCGGGACACTTGAGAGATATAAAACTACGCTTGAGGAACTTCAAGAAAAGGTAAAATATTAAATATATATATATTCATTAATATCTTAATTATTATATTCGATTTTTATTTTATTACAGTATCCTATTCGGGACAAATGGTTGTTGGTAAAATCCGGATTTACGTTAATCTTCGTGATCACGTTATTCTTTGTGCACAGTGTGCCAAATCTGCATTTATCATTAGGTTGGACCGCTCTGTTAGGTGTTCTCTTATTGTTGATTTTAGCGGATAGCGAAGATTTGGATGGTCTGATGGCGCGCGTGGAATGGAGCACTTTGTTATTCTTCGCGTCTTTATTCGTTCTTATGGAGGTAGAGAAAAAGAAACATGCGATAAATAAATGAAATCTCGATTAAATTAATCGTGATTTTGTGACTTTAGGCTTTATCACGATTGGGTTTGATCGCTTGGATAGGAAAGCAAACAGAAAAGATAATTCTATCCGTGAACGAGGAATCACGATTGGCGGTAGCTATATTGCTATTGCTTTGGGTGTCAGCATTCGCAAGCACGTTCGTGGACAACGTGCCTCTTTCAACTATGATGATAAGGATCGTCACTACTTTGGCGCAAAATAATGAATTAAAATTGCCCCTACAACCATTGGTGTGGGCATTAGCTTTTGGCGCCTGTATGGGAGGTAATGAAACTTGACAGATAATTCGAATATTTCATTTGATTAATATTTATATAATGTATGCTATATATGCTTTTCTTGTGCAAAGGTGAGGGTTTGATAAAGACCAATATTAATGTGATTTATTTAGTTGAATGGATAGGAATATTTGCAGGAAATGGAACTTTGATTGGAGCTACTGCTAATGTAGTTTGCGCAGGAGTTGCAGAACAACATGGATACAAATTCTCTTTTATTCAATTTTTCAAGTAAGTAATTAATTTTAAGAAATTATCACGAGAAAGATCGCAAATTACAAAAATTCTTCGTACAAAGTATGTATTCTGTATTTTTTATTCAGAGAATATACAAAATAATAAATTAATAATTGATATAATAGGAATACATTTTGAAATTATTGTTTCTATTTACATTGATTAATTAAAGATTTTTAACAATGATTAATTAAAATTATTTTATCTTATTGATTAAATATCATAGCATAATCGTAATTCAAATAATTTTGCAAAAATTTTGCAATCGATTTTACCTAAACCTTTATACGCATTTTCATTTACGCGAGGCAATAATAAATCGTATGATTATATGAAATAACTTCTAACTAATCTAATATTGTATCGAATAGCTAGGTATACCGAGCGAATTCAAATCGAATAATAAATCGCGAATAAATTAAGCTTATTTTCACAAGAGCTTGTCGCTAATTCATTCTTCGCGTAATAATAATTTAATTAATTCGACAAATAATTTTCAATGCGTTCGTTTCAGAGTGGGCTTTCCAATTATGCTGACAAGTGCTATGACAATAACCATGTACTTAATGATCGCTCACGTCATTTTCCATTGGAACGGATAATGTAATTATAACGACCTATGTTTAACATTCTTAAAATAAAATGAAAATATCGGAAAAAAAATATATAAAAATTATTCGAATCAAATTTTTCTGTTTGGATTCTTTTGTAATATTGTTGATTGAATACATGATTGTTACATTGCAATTGTAAATTGCAACACTGTATAGATTTACTTCGATAAATTGTTTTAATAATCTGGTTATATGAATTTTTCATATAATTCCAATTCTTCTAATTATGAGAATTATATTACGTTAAGTTTTATTCGTGTATTTATTTTAATTGAAATCATCTTAATTGTATAAATCAAATTAAATAAATATTCTACATTATTGTATGATTTAATAATTGATCGTATTATTGAATAAAATATTTTAAAACTTTTATGAGAAAATGTTTATTGATATTAATTCGTTACACTAAATTGAAAAATAAATTATGTAATATTTATGAATACAGTATTTCATATTTAACCATAATCTACTTATTATTTTGACTTTTAATCATTTCAAGCGATAACATCAATTTTTTCATAATTTTTCCTATATGAAAATATCATATCTTTGATCTTATAATTTCCTTTAATTCAATCAATTTATAAAAGGGAAAGTGTTCAAAACCTCGCTATATAAATTAATCAGACTAATTAATAATCAATACAAATGTATACATATATTATCCATCAACCATGTATGATTTATGATTTTCATTTTGACTATTTATTTTAATGTTCTTTTATGTATATAGAAATTTAAACTCTTCGATTTGAACGATGAAAATCTAATAAATTACAAAAATTACATAACGATTGATTTCCTATAAAATTAAAAATTAATTCTAAATAAACATAATTAAGTAGATTACATATAATAATAAACTATGTTCTCATCATTCTTCAATTTTTGTTCTATATAAATATAAATAAGAAATTCATAAAAGAAGTATCATACTTTGACGCAAATATTTTAACTATATCTTGTAAATACCAAAACGATTGATTAACATTATCAAATTGCTAATCTTTTTCGTAAGGTACTATTTTTATTTTTTGATATATTGCTCAAGCGAGGTAAAAATATAAAAAAAGGAAAAAAATTACAAATAATAAAGAATTTATGTACAAAAATTTTGAGTTTTAGAATGTAATGTGTTGAACGTAGAACGTAAAATACTTCATTTATGAATATCGTTCTACATCATATAGGAAAATAAAATGATTATAAAAATAGGATGCATGTATAAAAATTAATGCATAGATGTAAATACTTAATTAATTTAAATTGAATAATTAATTAATTTAAATTTTACTCAAATGATATGGAATCTTTAGGTTTTTCAAGTTTTCAAGTTCCGCAAATTCATCTATTGATTCTTAAAATTATGTTTACTATCAAAATTAAAATATTTTACATAACCGCTAATATATCATAAATAAAACATAAATACATTACCTTAAATATGATTATATATATATGAAATGAATTACATACATGATTATTATTTATCCTTACATAATATACTTACAATATTGTTATACTAATTAAATATGATATTTCTTACGCAATAACTTAAATTTAAAAGATCAAATAGATTTAATTTATAATAATTACATATATTGATAATATTGATAATGTTAAATTAATTATTTCAAATATTTTTTTTCAAATATTTTTCTTTTCAAATACAGTGGACGTATAACATTTTTGTAATATATTCTTCTTCTTTCGTTTTTTATTTACTTATAGTACATATAAAACTGTTTGTGGCATTCTTTCAATGCTATTTCAATTATTTTACATGTGAAAATTTCATGAATATTTCATGAATATAATATTTTATGAATATTATTTTAAATTTAAAAAATTCATTAATTTTTCCAGGAAATATAATTTTAAAACCTAAAATATAATATATATATGTATATGTATGTATGTGTACATATGTATATATATATATATATATGTATATAATATGTATATAATATATATATATATATTTCTATAATATAATAGAATAAAATATTGATTAATTAAATATGTATAAAAATGGTGTTTTTGTAACAAGATTAATTTTAAATTTATTGTAATCTATTTAAATTAACTTCATTATTTTATTATTTATAATTTTAATCAGTAAACAAAATATATGTAAAATACAAATATTTCAAAAACACCATTTCAATATAATAAGTATAATATAATATAATATTATAATAATATAATATAATATAATAATATATTTAATATAACTTAATTTTAAAGAAATTTAAAATTTGTTCAAAAATATTACGATTTGTTCAGGTAATCATATTCTTAAAAAAATTTAAATTGATATAAATATATCATATAATATTAATATAAGAATCATAAAAAAAAATTATCTTATACTTAATATATATTTATAATGAATTACAATTTTTAAACGCACATGTACGTATTAAATAAAATAATTATTCGTATAGAACGTTTAATTATTATTTGTTGTTCAAATAAAGATTTACAAAAATAATAACGTGCAACATTTACTGCTTATCGAATTAACTATATTTATAGTTATTATTTTGTGATTTCAAATTTTTAATATGCATTAAAGATTTTTTAAATATAAACTAATTATTTCTGATTATTAAAATAATTCATAATGTCATAATTCATCAAACGTATATGTATAATTAATTCTATTCATCTTTTGTTACAATAATGAAATTAGTTTATAATGCATTAACTATTTTATAAATATATTTCAATATTATACTATATAAATCTACGACGGTCGCAAATATTTCAAATTCATTATGACTTATAGAAGAATGCTGTACTCTTCACATTCTTAGTACTAGTGATCATTTTAATTTTTTATTTAATTTTTTTTTTTTTTTTTTTTAGATATTTATCTAATCTGGTATATATCACTCTAAATCACAAAAAATATTTACATGTAATTTAAAAAAATTAATGAATCACAGCAACAAATGGGACATATTTATTATGTATATAGTTTTGCATTTTTGTATGGATAAGTATTTTTTACATGGACAGATATTATTAAATAACATGATGTCATTATAAAGTAAAATATACTGAACGAAATTAAATTTATCTATAAGATTTTTAAATTCATTATTGCATCAAACAATTAAAAATATCAGAATAATAAATATCATGATATTTAAAAAATATCAATTATACTGGTTGAATTTATATGAAGGCATTATAACTTTTATATAATGAAATATTTTGAATTTTCATTTTTATCGAAAAATCTAAATATACTTGTGCCCTTCTACTGTATAATTTATGAAATTAATTATAATTTTTACAGTAGATATAAAAGCACTGAGCGATTATTTTGGTATGATCGATTTGGTAAATCTCGGAATGCCTGAAGCAGCATGCAAACTTCACACGAATATATTTCTGTTCAACATACATTACTTCATCAATACGAAACACAATCGAAAGTATATATAAATTCTTATAAAATATTTATATATATATATATATATATTATGCTTAACATTCGTAACAAAATAATATATGACTTACCTAAATTGTTGAATTAATAAATTTTGTTATAAACTACCGTTTATAACGTCCTTTTATTAATTGTAATGCTTTTGCCATGAGTGGTGCTTTTGTTTTCTTCACTATATCAGTCAACAATGAAAACAAAAAATTTATATTAATATATTAAAATATTCTAAGTTAAGCCAATATCATATATAAAAATACATACATGTTTTTGTATTACGAGATATAGGTGGTGGCGGAACAGATATATTTGTAGCAGCAGTAGGTCCTCCGCCGCTGATTAATTTTTTCTTTAAATTAGATGCTGTGGTAGGTATAGAATTAGCAGTACCATATTTAGCTTGTTTTTTAAGAATATTTCTGGGAGGTTTAACAATATTGTCTACATATGCAAGTTTAGTAGATCTTACAGGAACAGATTTATCTATTGATTGTTTTATATTAGCCGTAAGTGTTTTCAATTTTGCTTCTCTTTCATCCAAACATCGCTGTTAATGAATAGAAAATACAAAATAATTAATACGAAATAAGATAAAATAAAAAAATAATTTAAATAATGCAAATCTATTTATTCACCATATATGTCTCACGCCATGTCTCCATTTCTTCTCTTTGTTTATTTCTAAATTCACGATTACAGTGATATTGCCATAATTCATCTGTATCTTCAACTAAATAGGGATTGTAGTGTTCCAACATAAAAAGCTGATCTGCTGTTGCACGTTCCAGAACAGGTTTTATTATATCAAAAGGCACACCTCCCGTAAATTCAAGTGCTATTTAAAAAATAAAAAAAATATAATATATATATATATATTAAAACATCTTAAAAATATGATTATATAATTTATAAATAACTTACCATCAATATTTTCGATCAATACCCTTGTACATAATTCAAATAAAGTTGGTACACTCGTGTAACCAGATTTATTTCCTGAATATACTTTTGTTCTAAAATTAAAATTACAATTATAACTACACATCAACATATATTGTTCTACATATACATATTTTTACAATATATACCTTTGATTTTTAACATAGATTACATCTGTAAGAAGTTTATCTTCTTCCTTACGCTGAACTGGGTTAACATATGGCAGTGGCTTATAATTTGGACTAATTTCAGGTAATGTAGATGCTAAATCTACATTTAATGGCTCTAATTTTACATTTGATGTTAAAAGGGATGGAGTCTACAATAAAAAAAAAATAAAAATTTCTTTATTAATAATTATTTATAATAATTGTTTTTTTAATTTATTTTAATGATAAAAAGTTCTTTAAATAATATAAAATAATAAAACATAAATTACTTGTAAATTGTCACTTGTTGGTTCAATTTTCACTGTGATTTTTTTATTACTTATAGTAGTTGATTGTTCTGTTTTCATCACTTTAGATGTGCTTGTATTTGGAGAATTATTATTACGTTTTTTTGATACTTGTGTCATTGTACACATACCTAGTGCTTCTGCAAAGCTAGCACCTATAAACAGATAAACAATATTTATAATTTTTTAAATTTAGAAAAATAACAATATAAAATATAATATTATAATATATTATCTTATAAAAATAAAAATAATAAAATTCATTGAAATTTAATTACTGAATATAAAAATTTTAAAGATTATATTTCATAAAAAAAATTATAAAATATTTTGATATTAAAATATAATTATACTTTCTATTTTAGTTTATATTTTCATCATAAAAATAAATTAAGTAAAATACAAAATCAAATAGTATATATTCATACATAGAATATATTAAATAATTTGATAGAAGCATATAATAATGTTATAAAAAATATAATTTATTCAATATTCTTAATGAAGAAAAGAAAACAAATATCGCATATCTATTTTGATCATGTATGAAATACAAACACAATTATATTTATAAATGTAACTAACCAGAGTGGCAATCGATCCCTCCGTCGCCATTAATTTCTTGTTTTATTTTTGTTAAATCCTTAGGTTCTTTTGATCCATATTTCATATGTTTTGAATCTTTATTGCTTTTACTTTCATGTCTATTTTTTTCTCCCTTATGATCCTTTTTTTTAGTCCTATCTTTACTTTTATCATGATGCTTATCACTAGAGGAACTATTGTGATGTTTTAATTCTGAAGATTCCTTAGAATGATCACTTCGTTTAGTTTCATCTTTATTATGATTTGTATGTATCTCAATTTTATGTTTATGTTTCTCATTATTATCTTTTAATTTGCTATTAGATGAATCAGTTCGAGATTTGCTAGAACTGCTTTTTGATTTTTCATGAGAATCTTTTTTTTCATATTTAATTTCATTTTTAGTTAATACATCTTTATCCTTGGGCTCTTCTTTTATTTTAATTGTATTTAATGTAATACTATTATTATGCTTTTCAAAACTAGAAGATACTTGAAATTTAATTTCATCATTTTCACTGTCTGAATATTTCCTTCGTTTACTTTCTTTTTTAAGTATATTTGAATCATAATTTTTTCGTTTTTTATGATTTTCTTCATTAATTCTAGATAAGCTATTGCTATCTATAGATTTATTAGAGTGTTTTTCTGTATTATCAGATTTATTATGGCTATGATGTTTAGAACTTTGTATTTCATCTTTCTTATAGGCACTTTTATCTTTTGAAGATTTCTTGTCACTTCTTGATTCATGTTTATGACTATGTTTAATTTTATCATACTTCTTTTGTTTTTCTAAATCATTATTTGAATTTTTAGCAACATCATTGTCCATTTTTGATTGAGATTCATTAATTTTTAATTTGGATTCATATTTTGAACCATATTTATTATTATGTGATGTATGTGACATTTCAGATTTTTCTGACTTGTGTTTATACATATCTTTTTGATTTTCTTCACTTTTATGTCTAAAAAATCAGTTATATTTATCTATCTATTATATCTATCATAATATATATATATATATATTTATCAAAGAGAAAAAAATATTATCATATTAAATATAATAATTCTGCATTAAATTAATAAATACAATATAAAATAATAATTATATATGTTATATCTACCTAATAGAATTCTCTTCAGATTTTGGGGATTCACGATTATTTATATTATAGCTATCAGGTGCATCAGGAACATATGCTTCATCATCATATTCAACTTCACCTTCGCTAGTTTCTTCACTAGCAACCATTGCTTTCCATTTTGCTACAAGTGCTTTAGCAGCATTTCCTACACCACCATCATATTTTCTTAAACCATTTACAGTACGTCCTACACCAGTTTCTTGAAGATGCTGCACTGTTACTGGCAAATTAGATAATTTTGAAATACAATAAATAACCTGTAATATTTAAAATAATATATATTAGTTAATACATTAATTATATAAATATAATGTATCAAATAATTAAAAAAAAAATATCAAAATAAAAAAACATATAATAAGACTATAATACAAAAGATATAATTTTTATTTTAAGAATGAATAATAAAATATAAAATTAATATATAAATGTTAAATTTATAGAAGTAAAAATAATATGCAAAAATTATACATTTTTTAAAAGGATTGATTTTATATGAGGAAAAAAGCAAAATAAAAATACAACAATAGAATAAATGTTACAAAAATTTATTTTCATTTAAGAATGAATATATGTGTATATATATATATATATATATTTATACACATATATACACATATATATATATTTATTTATTTATTTTTATAATATACACGTTATATTTATATCGGGTTTATAAATAGTTATAGAATTTAAATATTGTCATAATTGTATTTAAATTTCATTATAAGGTTATATCCAACTATATTAATAAAACTGCATCATCGTATACGTTGCTAAAATTTTGTAGAATACTAAAATTAGTACAACAATACATACTCTATCTTCATTGTCATCGCATTTTTCAATATTTCGCTGATAATGCTTAATTTTATCCAGTACAGACATTATTGTAGCTGCCAGCTGCTAACTGCTGTTTGTCCCGAATTTATGAACAGATGGACACAAACGATGGAAAAAGTTACTTTCAATAGAATATTAGTTTTATTAGCCACGCAATAAATTCCATTGACTAAATTGCATTTATAGATTCACATTTATTTAGAAAATGCTATTGCATATAATGTAAATTAAAGAGGGTATGTATGAAGTTCATTTTTATATAATTGAATAGGATACATAAAAGTAAATAAAAATTAATAGTCCGAACTTGAAAATGAAATCGTATTTTACAAGTAAAAAAAGCTAGATAATAATAATAAAGAATATAAGAAACATATATAATATAAAATTAGATTGCAAAAATTTTAATTACTTCATATGTATGACATGACAATTCGCAATGCTTTAAACTTAATAAAAATATATGTATAGAATGTGGTAAGATTCGTAATATGATGTGAATCACGTCATTTACTATGGATTTTATAGATTTTTATGGATATTATAAAGAAAGAAATAAATAGAATAATTTTAGAATAAAAATTATTAAATCATTTAATTATAAATCATTTAGTAAAAAACTATTTAATTATTATTTTTTAAGGTAAAATTTTTTTTATGTTTTCATATAGCTCAATATCCTTTTTTATGAAAAATATCAAGCTATATCTATAAATGCTTCATAAATGATACAATATGAAAGAATTTGAAATTTATAAAAACAAATTATTCTTATTCTTTCTAAGAGATAAATATGCAAATAAAATATATAAGTATCCATATAAATATATAAAATCTGTTTTTAAATTATATTTTCCTAATATAATATAATCGAAAATTTAGATAAAAAATTTCTGATTCTAAAATTGTGGAAAAATTTCTCATGTCACTTCCTGTCCACATATAAAAAATAAATTTAAATAAAAGATATATATGTATATGATATATAGAAATAAAAAAATTGTTAAATATATATTTATGAGATATCAAAATTCCATGGAATAATCAGTAGATTTGAAAAGAATAGATAATAAAGCTAATCAAAAATTGGCGCCGTATCACGAACACATGGATAACGTAAAACAAATATAGATAAAGAGGAAAAATACTGGGATAAAGATAGAGATATAATAAAAATATTGAAATCAGCGCCATCTTCAGAGTGCCGTAAATGAAACTTACAAAGGAAGGATAAAAAATAGAAGAAGAAAGATAGAGATAGAGTAAAAATTGACTATCAACGCCATCTGTTGAGTATTTTTTGAAACATATATCTAAATATATCACGAGATGTCGCTGAATTTCAATTCTTACTCTACTTTATCCTGTTTTAAGAAGATATTGTCCAAAGTCAAAAGATGGCGTTAGTAATCAATTCTCGCCTTATCTCTATCCTTCTCTTATTATTATATTATATTTTCTATCCTTCCTTTACGAGTTTCATTTGCGGCACTCTAGAGATGGCGCTGATTTCAATATTTTTACTGTATCTTTGTCCTTTTTTGATTATTTTCTTTCTTTGTTTATATTTGCTTGAACACGTAACCATAACGAAATACAAAACGTATTTGAATTGAACAGACATTGTTTCATTTTCCTTTCAAAATTATAATCTGAATTATATTTTTGATTTTATAATATAATATAAAAACAATGAAATGTGGAACCATCATTTCAATTATCTGTTCCACGATAATTATATTTTATATATAAATATAATCTTGTATAAATTCATATATTATAAGATCGATATTTATAAGAATTTTATTTTATTTATAAAAATTTTATTTTATTCTATTTCTTATTTATTATGTTTATATTATATTTATTATATTTATTATTTATATTGAAATTTAATTTCAATTCATACCATTAATAACATTGCTATCTTATTTTAAAATCAAATTAATAAAATTATAAGAATGTCCTAATTTCTCTAAGAGATAAAAAATAAATTGACGAATAAGATTCTGTATCTCGTTTGCGATATATAACAAGTATTTTTCTATTGAATTTAAATCAAAATATTGCTTTGAAAATATATCAGTTCAAGGATTTACGATAAGTTTATTAATAATATCAAAGATCATTTAAAATACGAAGATCTAGTACAAGTCATTATTCATTCATATGCTTAATCTTATCGTATCGTTTGTTAATTATAATTATAATATAATATCATAAAAATATAAACAAAATTTTTTTTATTTATGATTTTAATAATTAATTTTTAATGCAATATTTTTTTCACATATCGGTGAATATTATAAATCATGAAATTATTACATAAATTATTATTGATATTACTTTGAATATATATTCTTACGCATATTTCAATAAAAAAAAAAACTTTATATAAAATATAAAATAAATAAATTATATATAAAATAAAAGAAAATTAAATATTTCGCATTATTCAAATATTTCTATCATTCATTTTTGTGAATATTTGTGATTTTAATTATATTGCAATTTTTAATTATGTTGCAATTTTATACTCAAGTTTTATATTCAATTTATGGAAATATTTAGAGAGATATGGAAGAATTTAGAGAGATTTTTTTTTATATTATTTAAATAAAAGCCACGAGCAAACTTAATTACGAGAATATACGACAACGTATATCTTTAATTAATTAATCTTTCTAATTATAATTATATATAGATATAGATTTAAATACCGAGAACACGAAACAAGATTCACGAATTAATACTTTATTAGATAGATTGAATATTAATAATTTTCAGCAAAATAGTAAGATATGAAATAAATTTTAAATAAGAACGATCGATATCTCTTTCGAGTATATATATATATATTTTTCTTTTTTTTTTTTTTTACAAAAAGAAATCGCGATGCACAAGTAAATTTAAGTAAGGCCTGTTTAATTGGTTACTTAATGTGAAGCGTGCGAAACGAGAAAGTCATAGGGTTAACCAATTTATTGTTTCTGTTGCTTGAAAAATATCGTCCGTTTCACAATTTTGCATTGTTTCACATATTTATTTGCAATATTTCTCATTTATCATTCCTGAATAATTTTATTATAGAAAATTGGATATAATGTAAAAAAAGAAAAAAAAAAACTTGAAAAAATATCAAATTGCATTTTTATACGTGCAAAAAATGGAAATATAATTCCGTTAGAATTTATTATTCTCGGGAAATAATTATTATTAACATATATATGTCGTTTAATCTAATAAGTTCGTGTTTATTTCCTACATTATTCTAATGATCTCAATAATTCATTTAATTTCCTGCTGACGTTATCGATATCGCGAAAAAGTATCACATCAGTGACATCGATTTTTAGATTCTTTTTTTTTTTTTTTTTACGAAGGAGTTGATGATCTTTCCTTAATCGGGCACCTTTGACATATAACATTATTATTGACCAGATATGTCTTATAATTTAAGTTTACAATATATATATATATATATATTTTTAGAATCCTGGAGAAAATAACGAAATAATTACAAATATTCGATGTTATTCCAATTTTGCGAATAATATTATTGGTCGAAAAATGGAGAGAAGAAAAATTTTGTAAAGCAGGTGCAACAAAGGTAACAAAGATTCACTATTCGAGAAACAAGATTCTTGAATAAGAAAGAGATAAAAATATCGTTAATTTTCAATTTTGGAATAAACAAATATTTTACACTCTCCTTAACTTACTCCCCTCTTCCTTAACTCTTTTCTCCATATTTCACGAATCGAATCGCTAATAATTGGCACGATAGACACGAATTCGAATCACTCGATATCCTCACTTATTCGCAAAACATTTCCTCTGTGCCGAATTTATTTTTTAATCTCACGTATACATTTACATACAATATTATATATATATATATATTATTATATTATAATTGTATTATATAATAGATAGAATTGTTACTTACTCAATATCGAAGAAATCCCCTTGATAACTTGATTAATCGTTATGAACGATCGGCAGCCTGTCGTATATAACACTTCCAAAGTTCTTCACACTTTCCACACCTTCCACAATTCGCTCAGAAACTCGAGAATGCACCGAGAGACTTTAACACTTGTCAAGAGTTCACTCAGGACTAACATTGAACGACCACCGACTTCTACTTATGCATGCAAAATTCGAAGGGATGGGCATGGTCAACGGGTATTGTTAAGGGTATTAGTAAAATTGTCAAAATTTCGGATTGGTCAGCTGGTGGAAGAGAGGCGAACGATTGGTAGATAAGCAATTAAGAGAAAGTGACTGCCAGAAAGGACAACCAAGGTGATATCGCTACCCTTAACCACCTGTCCCGTTATCCTCAGGTAACTAGGGGCAGGTAATAAAGCAATAGAATAAATATCTCGGTCATAAATTGTCATAAAAACATGTCAATCTTTCAACTGTTATTGTAAATCATGATATGTGGTTACTTTTAAATTAGGATTATCACGAGTTATGGGTTGGAAACAGTTAGAATTTTTGACAAAATCTTTGGAAAATATATGGGAAAATATAGGTATGCGAAGAAGAAGAAACAATTATATGGGTATGAACGAAAGAAGAAACAATTTCGATTGTTAAAGGAATTAAAAATAAATAAAAATAAATAAATAAATGGGAAACAATTAATTTCTTTGGAATTGCAATTATATTTGACGCGTATTTCAATAAACAATTTGACAAATGATTTGTCGTACGTTATAATTATTGCCCGACTGATTTTTTCGACTTTGTCTCTTCGTCGTTGTAAACATATTAAATTGTTGCACAATCTTTTTTTCCTTTTTTGCCTTATTTTACAACAATAAACAATAAAACTTTCCGCTCTTCGTCATTACATCTTCTCCTTCAATCCTATCCTTATTACCTGCAGCTCCAATTTCATGAAACGTGAAAATAAATTGAACATCTTGTATCATCGTGCATATATATATATAACTACATGCACGGACGAAACATTCGTAAGTGAAATAAAAAATTTCACCGGCAGTTAGATAGTGTTCTTTATATACATATATCTTTCATAACCTTGTCTCGCAACTTTCTAAGGTTCTAATCTAAAAAAATGCACGGATGAAGCTTTACAGTTATTCAAACCTTAAAACATTCAGTTCCGTGTGATGCGAATAACTTTCCATAATTCTAAATAAGCAATAAAGAAGAATATCGAGAGGACTATGGAATATGACTATGAAAGAAATTCTAGCAATTCGAAACGTGTCTCGTGAATAATTATTTTCGCAAAATAATAAATATCTCTCCTTCTCCTGTGTTCGGAAAAAAAAAAAAAAAAAAAAAAAAAAAAAAAGAAAACAGAACGAACAGAGCTTCTTCTTTTTCTCTCTCTCTCAACGTATATAACGCGAGATTTTAAAGAAAAATGCACTCGATCCACTCCCCAGCTCATCGGAATTGGGGAAGAAACGAGAGAGGGATCGACGAAGAGGGAAAAACCGTTTTTAATTATATTTAATTTTGCAAAAATTTTCGCCACCCCGTTTCTCCTTCCTCCCCCCAAAAAAATTTCATCACATCGTCCATCGTATCGACAGACACGACTCGTCGGTCGGTTCTTCGAGGGAGGAACGAGAAGAAGGTTGGCTCTCGACCTTCGAAGGGAGGAGGTTGCGAAAGTAAAGCGATCGGATGGGAGGAGGTGAGGCGCGATAAACGGGGGATTTTCACTCGGCGTCGGTCAAAGTATACTTAGCCACCGGAGTCGAACGAAAGAGCCGGATCATTCAATTCGCGACAGAGGGGGCGAGAGAGGAGCGTGGTGCCCGTTTCCACGTACTCTCCGGTGTCCCTACCACTTTCTTTGCCCACCAAGTGGGCATCGCGTTCTCGTTACCGTGGTCCACGCTGCACTACTGTTCCACTATCTCCTCATTCACTTCGCGATTCGACAGAGGGAACACGCGCTTACCTGGCCGACACACGCTCATCCTTCTTCGCTCGGTTTCACGAATCGATCATCACGAATCGATTCATCGTCCACGACTCCTGTTTCTTCCCGTTTTCTTTTTTTTTTTTTTTCACCCTTCGTCGTTTATCCCTTCGTCGCGGTTCCACGAAGAAGAAGAAGAAGAAGAAGAAGAAGAAGTCTCGTTTTCAAAGGATCGCTCTTTTTTTTTTTCCTTAATTTTCTCGCGAAAGTGATGGAATCGGGCCGAGAGTTTGATCGTCTCCTCGATCTCTTCGATCTCTAAATATTCTCGCGTATCGAGAAAGTGCGAGCAAAAAAAAGAGAGAAAAGAGAGTATAAAAAATTCTCTCTCTCTCTCTTTCTATATATATATATATATATCTTAAATTTTTAAATATTTAAAATTTCACCGATCCGTCTCATCATTCGATCGATCTTGATCGATTCATCATTTCATCGAATCGTTCGTTTTCTTAAAAAAAATCTGTTTCCCTCTGAGAAAGAAAAAAAAAAAAAAAAATCATCGACCAGAGAAGAAGAATTACGAGGATCGAGAGATCGATGACGGGGGTCGAGAGTTGGAGCGCGATCGTCGATCAGTGGACGAGGAAGCGGAACGGTGAGATGATAAGGCCGCTCGCACCTTGCACGCGAGGCGAAAAGTAGGCGAAGAGGAAATCCCTGCGGAGTGGATATCGAACGAGGGCGGACGAGATCCAGGATAGTGGCGTGTGGCACATTTGCCGTACAGAGAAAACCCGTCTCCAATGGTTTTTCTTCCTTCCATCCGCTCACTTCCACTGTTCCACGTTCTTACATAAAGGGGGATTTTGCCGACCGTCAGTTAATGAACCCGGCTGTGCGCGCGTATATACAGGGAACATCCGTCGCCGAGTTTACGTAAGTAGTAAATATGAATAAATTTTTATCTTATCTTATGCGAGAGTGAAAGAGAGAGAGAGAGAGAGAGAGAAAGAGTAGAGTGAAACAGAAGAGGGATAAGAATAAGAGTTGTGTTCCTCCTTGGTCCTTGGCTGCCTTTATACTTTTGCCGCGACGAGAAACGGTCCGTTTCTTGTCCACCTTCCTTCGATTCCTTGCAATTCAATTCCGTTTTTTATTTTATGCCGATTCTCTCGGTTTTTGCGGATTGGAAGGAAATGGAGGAACGGTTTTATTTCTAACTTTTAGAGAATCTTTTGGAACGGGTTGGCTTGGAATTCTTGAAAATTTATCATTTCCAATAGCGATTGGAAATATAAATATAATACGAATAGAGTTCGAGAGTAAGTTATTTCCAATTTTTAAAGTAAATTGACGTAATTGATCGCAGTGACGATTGTTGCCTTGAAATTTACTCTCGTAAATTCGTACGTATGGGACACGTAGCTGTACAGTAATAGGAAAAGAAATATCGTAGAGCGTTCAGATGCAAAATTTCTTTCTTAGGTTCAAGAAGCGTTTCGTTTAATTTTTTGAATGGCGATAAAGTGTTATTGCGATGAATAGGGTTCGAGTAAGTTTGACGTAATTGCAATGACGATTGTTGGCTTAAATTATTCTCGTAAATTCGTACGGGATATGTAGCTGGACAGTAATAGGAAAAGGAACACCGTTCAAACAAAATTTCTTTCTCGGGTTCGACAAGTTCGGTTTAATGTTTGGAAAAATGGCGATAAAGAGTTACTGGGATGGAACTCGTAAATGCTCCAACTTCTAAGTGACTTCTAAGCTTCGAAAAATTTTTGAATCAGTTTGAATTCGTTTATCGGTGCAAGAACAATCAATTGCACTAATTATTCGAATTATTTAGTGATTATTTAAGTTAGACTTAAGAGATCATAGACTTTTTTTTATACCAATTTTTATTTATTGGAAGATATTGGCTGGTTAGAGATATAATTAAAAATTTATATCGTATTTGTAAAATCTTCTTTTTTTTTGTAAATTTACCATACAACGATAATCGATCAACTTTACGTAAATCCATCAATGTGGAACTTTTCTTACCATTGTTTCACTCAGCCGAGTTTTGCCCCATTATTACACGGTACGTTGACTTGAACTACTGGAAACTTATTATTTAATATTTAGGACAAGTTCACTTGCCTCGCAACGTTGATCAGTCATTGTCAAAACGTTTAAATTTCATTATAAACATACAGTCATTGACATTAAGACATTAGCCTTGACTTCTCTTCTCAAATGCCTTACGTATGTAAAATATGTAAGATGTGTTATATAATTTTTTTTTAATCTTATTTTTTTCTTTTTTTCTCTGATATATTAAATATCATCTTATCGAATGTACGAATGTATATGGTGAAAGTATCGAGAAATTTTTGATATAGAAGAATTGATTTGGAAAGAATTATTTCTATTATAAATATATCTATTATAAATACAAAAGTGCAAATTTGAATGCAATAAATGTAATTACGTGGTTCGCTCTGAACAGTGTTTCGCAAAAATATTCGCTTTCTCTTTATGAACTCAAACTTTTTTCATTATAAATATTCGCTATAATTCGGTATAAATATATATTCAGAGTCTCGGAATATTCTTCTAATTTGCTTATCTTTTTTTTAACACGTTACAAGAATCTCGACTTTGTCAAAATTACAGGCAACAACTTGAGAGGCGAATCTTTGATCACTTGTTCAAATAATAGTTAATAATATTATGTGATAATATTAACATAAGAGATTTCTAAATGTTTAATGTCCAAGCGATTCTATACTTTACTTCAAATAAATAAAAAAAATTTTTAAACCTTGTTGATTTAACATTACAACAAAGTAAATTCTTCGATTTTCTCTTTATTTTCTCGATGATATCAGTTTTTTTTTTTTTTTTGTCAAAACATGTGTCGAACGATTTTTTTATACTATAAAATAAAATCGTTAATTAATGAAAATTGGATAATTAGAATTTGATTAGAACAAGTTTATTTATTTTAATTATTAATTAATCAACCGATTATTATTAATTGAGCATAAAAAAAAAGATCTAATAATAATTAATATTCAAAATATAATTAATAATTTCATAATTAAGAGGGATAAAATTCAAATTGGATTAAAAAAAATTATTTACGATTATTACGATATCGTTCACATGTTGTGATAACACAATTGTGATGAACACAATTAATATTTTCAATATTAAATGTGAAGATTTTTCACGAGGAAAATTTAACTTATAAACCAGACGATGAATCTTCGAATTTGAATCTATCGCGTCTCTCCCCTCCCTCCTCTCTCCCTCGATATACGATAATTTTTGTTCAAATCTTACAAGTCATAGTCATGATATAATCGGAGATCGTTTAAATAAAATTGTTTGCAATATTTTTTTTCTTAAATAAAAATAGAACTTAAGCAGAATGAGAATTTTATTTAAATAATGATTCGATTCGATTGATAATTAAAAAAATTAGAGAAGAGAGGACGATTTCTTCAGCGAACGTATATAACGGATCGGGATTGAGATAAATAAATTTCGAATTCGCCTCTATGGTAAATTATTATCAAAATTTATCATCAAGAAACAGAAATAACAAGTGGGATGATTTTACAGATTTTGAAATGAGAGATTTCAGTGAACTTGAATATTTCGAATATTAACTAACGGCATATCGACGATTCCAATATAGTCAATTTCGATTTTTTTTTTGCAGTTATGTAACGATTCTTTGCATAATAAAAAAAAAAAAAAAATGGTTAGTCTTGTTTACGATAATAATACTATCTAATCATTCGATAAAACCACTTTTTTTTTTTTTTTTTTTTTTTTTTTTTTTTTTTTAAATAAATGTTGCAAAGCGATCGAGTATTCGTATAATCTCAGATAAAATCTCGTGATAAATTTCTAATATCTTTTGAACGGATCTAAAACGGATAAAGTAAAAGCAAGATGAAAGAAAAAGGGGGGAGTGGGGGGGGTGGGGGGGGAGGAAGAGGAAATTCTTCTCGTTCTTAAGATAAAAATAACATTATGGAAATATAAAAAAAAGATCTACGTGATGAAATTCGATGCAAGACATGGACGAAACGTACAATGTTAGTATGGCACGGATAGTTATAGTATCTCGTTTATGCATAATAATGTAAAATTATTGCGAATGCGGTTTTGTATCAAAACCACAAGCCCAAGATAAATACTTCCTGTATTCATCCTTCTTCACGCTGGCATTGTCTGGAATGCTTACCTCAAAATTTTTATCTCCTTGCTTCCTGAGATTGCTGTGCAACAGAGACATCATTTTTTATATATATATATATAAAAAAAAAAAAAAAAAAAT